AGGAAGCGTCCCCTTACATTGGAGGGTCAGTAAGGAAGCGTCCCCTTACATTGGAGGGTCAGTAAGGAAATGTCCCCTTACATTGGAGGGTCAGTAAGGAATGGTCCCCTTACATTGGAGGGTCAGTAAGGAAGCTTCCCCTTACATTGGAGGGTCAATAAGGAAATGTCCCCTTACATTGGAGGGTCAGTAAGGAAACGTTCCCTTACATTGGAGGGTCAGTAAGGAATGGCCCCCTTACATTGGAGGGTCAGTAAGGAAGCGTTCCCTTACATTGTAGGGTCAGTAAGGAATGGTCCCCCTACATTGGAGGGTCAGTAAAGAATGGTCCCCTTACATTGGAGGGTCAGTAAGAAAGCGTCCCCTTACATTGGAGGGTCAGTAAGGAAGCGTCCCCTTACATTGGAGGGTCAGTAAGGAAGCGTCCCCTTACATTGGAGGGTCAGTAAGGAAGCGTCCCCTTACATTGGAGGGTCAATAAGGAAATGTCCCCTTACATTGGAGGGTCAGTAAGGAAACGTTCCCTTACATTGGAGGGTCAGTAAGGAAGCGTTCCCTTACATTGGAGGGTCAGTAAGGAATGGTCCCTTTACATTGGAGGGTCAGTAAGGAAGCGTTCCCTTACATTGGAGGGTCAGTAAAGAATGGTCCCTTTACATTGGAGGGTCAGTAAGAAAGCGTCCCCTTACATTGGAGGGTCAGTAAGGAAGCGTCCCCTTACGTTGGAGGGTCAGTAAGGAAGCGTCCCCTTACATTGGAGGGTCAGTAAGGAAGCGTCCCCTTACGTTGGAGGGTCAGTAAGGAAGTGTCCCCTTACGTTGGAGGGTCAGTAAGGAAGCGTCCCCTTACATTGGAGGGTCAGTAAGGAAGCGTCCCCTTACGTTGGAGGGTCAGTAAAGAAACGTCCTCTTACGTTGGAGGGTCAGTAAAGAAACGTCCTCTTACGTTGGAGGGTCAGTAAAGAAACGTCCTCTTACGTTGGAGGGTCAGTAAAGAAACGTCCTCTTACGTTGGAGGGTCAGTAAAGAAACGTCCCCTTACGTTGGAGGGTCAGTAAGGAAGCGTCCCCTTACATTGTAGGGCCAGTAAGGAAATGTCCCCTTACATCGGAGGGTCAGTAAAGAATGGTCCCCTTACATTGGAGGGTCAGTAAAGAATGGTCCCCTTACATTGGAGGGTCAGTAAGGAAGCATCCCCTTACATCGGAGGGTCAGTAAAGATTGGTCCCCTTACATTGGGGGGGTCAGTAAAGAATGGTCCCCTTACATTGGAGCGTCAATAAAGAATGGTCCCCTTACATTGGAGGGCCAGTAAGGAAGCATCCCCTTACATTGGAGGGTCAGTAAATAAACGTCCCCATAAACTAGTGGTCAGTAAGGAAACGTCACCTCACATTGGTAGTCAGTGGAGATGTACCCGTTACTTTGGTGGTCAGTGGGTGAAGAATCCCTTTAGATTGGTGATCAATGATAAAAGGTCCCTTTACAGACAGATAAAATATCACTGGTATCAACTACTGAAAATGATGAGAAGAAAAGATCTACTGGTCCCATGCCAGGCTCAGCCAAGTGAAGTTGGTGCAGTAATAATGCAGGTGCCATCAGGCAGGAGATCAGTCCACCATACTCATTGCTCGAGGAACCCCTAGACATCTCAGGAAGAACCCTGGTGGAAAAAGGTGGATTTAGATCCTGGTGCCCAACCTATGGCCCTGACATTTGTTGTGTGGCCTCTTGCAAATCCAAGAAGACGGAGTGACAGAACTGATTTTCAAAGGGGCTGTAACATCAGTGATCTCAAGCAGTCTAATATAACATACCCCCAGTCTCTGACAGTCTTCTGTAGAAAGTCTCCAACAACACTTGTAGCTTGTCTGCAGTCTCCCACTGTCTCTTCCAGTAGGTCTGCAGTCTCTGATCACCTCTTCTAGTAGGTCTGCAGCCTCTGATCATCTCTACTGGTATGTCTGCAGTCTCCGATCATCTCTCTACTGGTATATCTGCAGTCTCTGATCATCTCTTCTGATATGTCTGCAGTCTCTGATCATCTCTTCACGTAGGTGTGCAGTCTCTGGTCACCTCTTCTAGAATGTTTTCAGACTCTGATCATCTCTTCTAGTATGTCTGCAGTCTCTGATCATCTCTTCTAGTATGTCTGCAGTCTCTGATCATCTCTACTAGTATGTCTGCAGTCTCTGATCACCTCTTCTGATATGTCTGCAGTCTCTGATCATCTCTTCACGTAGGTGTGCAGTCTCTGATCATCTCTTCTAGAATGTTTTCAGTCTCTGATCATCTCTTCTAGTATGTCTGCAGTCTCCGATCATCTCTTCTAGTATGTCTGCAGTCTCCGATCATCTCTTCTAGTATGTCTGCAGTCTCCGATCATCTCTTCTAGTATGTCTGCAGTCTCCGAACATCTCTTCTAGTATGTCTGCAGTCTCCGATCATCTCTTCTAGTATGTCTGCAGTCTCCGATCATCTCTTCTAGTATGTCTGCAGTCTCCGATCATCTCTTCTAGTATGTCTGCAGTCTCCGATCATCTCTTCTAGTATGTCTGCAGTCTCCGATCATCTCTTCTAGTATGTCTGCAGTCTCCGATCATCTCTTCTAGTATGTCTGCAGTCTCCAATCATCTCTTCTAGTATGTCTGCAGTCTCCGATCATCTCTTCTAGTATGTCTGCAGTCTCCGATCATCTCTTCTAGTAGGTGTGCAGTCTCTGATCATTTCTTCTAGTATGTCTGCAGTCTCCGATCATCTCTTCTAGTAGGTGTGCAGTCTCTGATCATCTCTTCTAGTATGTCTGCAGTCTCTCATCATCTCTTCTAGTACGTCTGCAGTTTGTTTTTCTCTTCCAATATGTCTGCAGTCTCTGACGGTTTTCCCTAGCATTATATATACTGAAAATAGTGTGTGGCTCTTTAGTGCCTTCAGAAACCACAGCTGAGCACTCCCAACCCCCCCCCCCATACCTCAAAAGCTGACATCCTCTTACCTAGACCCCAACCATCACTCATCATACCAACATGACCACAGAGAACCGAATAACCAATTACAATTTATGATTTAACTGATCCCAAGAGCCCCCGTACAAAAGTCCTAATGCTGGATTCTCAAATGCAAAAAGAACATTATTTTAGCATTTTAAATTCTGCCACATAAAATGAAAGTATAAAAAAAACACCGAAAGAGATCTAAAGCGGAATCTAACAGGCTTCCAGTATGGATTTTATGGTGCATCCCGCAAGCTCAGAAAACCAAGGATGTTACCAGGGACAGATTTCCAAGGACGATTCCTCCAACACCCGGCTATCCTTTAAAAGCAGAGAGACAGCTGCAAATACAGAGCCGGATGTATGACAGTATCAGTACTGAGAACAGAAATTCTGGTAGAATCAGAATCAGTTGGTTGCAGTGACATCACAACACTTCCTAGATCAACTTTAGTTTTATCAAAACTCATAATCATCTCTTCTAGCATGTCTGCAGCTTCAGACATGGTCAGAGACTGCAGACATACTAGAAGAGACGGTCAGAGACTGAAGACATACTAGAAGAGACTGTCAGAGACTGCAGACATACTAGAAGAGACGGTCAGAGACTGCAGACATACTAAAGGAGATGGTGAGAGACTACAGACATACTAGAAGAGACAGTGAGAGACTGCAGACACTCTAGAGGAGACCATCAGAGACTGCAGACATACTAAAGGAGATGGTGAGAGACTACAGACATACTAGAAGAGACAGTGAGAGACTGCAGACACTCTAGAGGAGACCATCAGAGACTGCAGACATACTAAAGGAGATGGTGAGAGACTGCAGACATACCAGAAGAGATGATCAGAGACTGCAGACACACTAAAACAGGCAGTCAGAGACTGCAGACACACTAGAGGAGACCGTCAGAGACTGCAGACACTCTAGAGGAGACCGTCAGAGACTGCAGACACTCTAGAGGAGACCGTCAGAGACTGCAGACACTCTAGAGGAGACCGTCAGAGACTGCAGACATACTAAAGGAGATGGTGAGAGACTGCAGACACACTAGAAGAGACAGTCAGAGACTGCAGACACACTAAAACAGGCAGTCAGAGACTGCAGACACACTAAAACAGGCAGTCAGAGACTGCAGACATACTAGAAGGGATGGTCAGAGACTGCAGACATACTAGAAGGAATGGTCAGAGACTGCAGACATACTAGAAGGGATGGTCAGAGACTGCAGACATACTAGAAGGGATGGTCAGAGACTGCAGACATACTAGGAGGGATGGTCAGAGACTGCAGACATACTAGGAGGGATGGTCAGAGACTGCAGACATAATAGAATATATAAACATAAACAATCAGAGACTGCATACAAATTAGAAAAGACACTCAGAGGTTATGGATATGTTACATGAGACTGTTAGAGATCAGTGACATTACAGCCCTCTTTGCATATGAGTTCTCTCCATCCCACCTATGACAAGAGGCCACACAGCAACTACCATGGCCACAGGTTGGGCCCCAAAGATCTATATCTTCCTTTCTCTACCAGGGTTCTGTATAATCAGGTTGTATGGTGTATAGTCAGCATAGAGGAGATTGTACAATCAGATTGTAAGGTCAGTCTGAAGGAGATTGTACAATCAGGTTGTATGGTGTCGGCGTGGAGGAGATTGTACAATCAGGTTGTATGGTGTATAGTCAGTCCGAAGGAGTGTTGTACAATCGGGTTGTATAGTCAGCGTGGAGATTTTACAGTCGGGTTGTATGGTGTATAGTCAGTCTGAAGGAGATTGTACAATCAGGTTGTATGGTGTCAGCGTGGAGGAGATTGTACAAACGGGTTGTATGGTGCCAGCGTGGAGGAGATTGTACAATCGGGTTGTATGGTGTTAGCGTGGAGGAGACTGTACAATCGGGTTGTATGGTGTATGGCCCTCTTTATCACCGACCTTCTGACACACAATAATAGGAATAGATGTGAGGATCTCCCCTGTTCAGGACTCACCTGTGTCCCCAGTGTGATGTACAGGACCAGGGTCATCCATAGAGCTGGGGGGATCATGTTCTCGGGGGGGTCAGCTGCACACAGGGGGTCTTCTCATCCTGGGTACTGAGGGCTCCTCCAGGCTCAGTGGGGCCCCATCCAGAGGGTGTCTCTGGGCTCCCAGTTTCCGGGTGTCAGGCGGATCTCCTCTACAATAACAGCCATCCACCTGTATGAGTCCAGAGGGTTCCCCATTGCATCACTTGCAGCGAGGGACCAATCAGCGGCGGAGCGTCATTCCAGCCTGCCAATGAGGACGAGGAGGGGCGTGTCCGGCTGTCACCCGGAACAGAGCGGTGTGTTGTTGGTGGACACGTGGAGGTTGGAGGATGAGGGAGGGAGAGGTGATGATCGATGCGCTCAGCTCCTGATCTGTGCGATCTGCCACCGATAACATCATCACCGAGCTCTGCCACTGCGGTCAGGGGAGGGGACTGATGGCAGGGAGCCATGTTCACACTGCAGGGCAATGCTGGGTGACATCTTCAGGGAGACTTTTTTTTAGAATCTTTTATTTTTCCCCACTAAGATGAGATTGTTCTTCTGTTTGTGTAGTACAGGGAGGACTGGGTGGGTGGGGCATCAGGCCTCAGGGCCAATACCAGCAACACACGATGGACTGGGGGACCCCAGTAGAGATATTTTACTAATCAGACTTCAGCCTAAAGTTCTTCCTTGCTGTGGTGCAAGGGTTAACTGCTAGGGCACTATTCCTCCCACTGACACCAACGATGGGGCACTATTCCTCCCACTGACACCAATGATGGGGCACTATTCCTCCCACTGATACCAATGATGGGGCACTATTCCTCCCACTGACACCAACAATGGGGCAATGATCCCTGCACTGACATCAACAATGGGGCAATGATCCCTGCACTGACACCATCAATGGGGCAATGATTCCTGCACTGACACCAACAATGGGGCACTATTCCTCCCACTGACACCAACAATGAAGCAATGATCCCTGCACTGACACCAACAATGGGACAATGATCCCTGCACTGACACCACCAATGGGGCACTATTCCTCCCACCGACACCAACAAAGGGGCAATGATCCCTGCACTTACACCAACAATGGGGCACTATTCTTCCCACTAACAATGGGGCAGTATTCATCCCACTAACACCAACAATGGGGCAATGATCCCTGCACTGACACCACCAATGGAGGACTATTCCTCCCACCGACACCAACAATGGGGCACTATTTCTCCCACCGACACCAACAATGGGGCAATGATCCCTGCACTGACACCAACAATGGGGCATTATTCCTCCCACAGACACCAACAATGGGGCAATGATCCCTGCACTGACACCAACAATGGGGCAATGATCCCTGCACTGACACCAACAATGAGGCACTATCCCTCCCACTGACACCAACAATGGGGCACTATTCCTCCCACTGACACCAACAAAGGGGCACTATTCCTCCCACCAACACCAATGATGGGGTGCTATTCCTCCCACTGACACCAATAATGGGGCAATGATCCCTGCACTGACACCAACAATGGGGCACTATTCTTCCCACTGACACCAACAATGAGGCACTGTTCCTCCCACTGACACCAATAATGGGGCACTATCCCTCCCATCGACACCAATAATGGCACAATATTCCTCCCACCGACACCAATAATGGGACACTATTCCTCCCACCAAAACCAAATGATGGGGCATTATTCCTCCCACCAACACCAACCATGGGGCACTATTCCTCCCAATAACACCAACAATGGGGCATTATTGCTCCCACTGCAACCATCTCACAGAGACGTCCAGGCCGTCCACGGAGGTTGACACCTCGACAAGAGCAAAAAGCAGCATTTTTGCTACAATAGAGTTCAATGGAAAAGCTGCTGAAATGCATGGTAGGGTGTTTTTGCCACGGTTTGCATTTTTTATTCTGCCCAGCATCAAGAAAAATTCCACACAAAAAAAAAAAAAAAGAAAACTGAACAAAACGCAGTAAAAACGTGTGTAGAAAAATGCAAAGCGAACTGTGAAGAGAGCACTGGAAAACGGACAGAAAGCAAATTGCATAGGTGGGGTCTTAGAACCACTTGTTTTTGTTTTCACTTCAAAAAATATCTGCACCCAGAACTGTCTGATTACCTGCCCTCAACACCTGCCTGTAAAATAAAAAAAAAAAAAAATAAAAAAAAAAAAAAAGCCAGCTTTGTCGCTGAGATCAGTGCATTCATAGCTCTTGTCCCACAGAGGGGTGGAGTGGTCATGGAAGATGCCGTACCAGCGCCGTTCCTGGGACTCTGTATCATACTGAGGACAATATTACAATACTGCAGAGCATTTTAACACACTGGGGCCCTTAGACTGCACAGTCTATCTTCCTAAAAAGAGGAACTTAACCTTTGACCTTTGTTAGAACCAATGTGCTTGTACTCGTCCATCTTTGGCAATGTATTTACTAAAATATAAAGATGTCTGAGAACTGTGAGCTGCCTCTTTTGTCATCTCCACATTGAATGTGGTATAGCATGGTCATGGCTTAAAACGAGTCTCAAATTTATAAACAAGGGGCCAGTTTACTGTCCCCTGACTTTAGGAGGGCCGGACTGTGGCCAGTGGGACTAGAAAATGCCCCGGCATCAATGGGAGCATCTTATGCATGAAGGTCAAAAACCTTCAGTATGCAGCTCCCCCCACATCACTTCCTAATACTTACCCGAGCCCAATCCTGAGCCGGTGATGTGCACAAGAGCAGTTGTTGTCCTGGTTCTCTGCCTCCTTATTGGTTCAGACAGCAGCGGGAGTCATTGGCTGTTGCTGCTGTCAATCACAACCAGTGAGAAGGGAGCAAGGGTGGGGCTGAGCCCAATTCTGTATGGACACACAGAGCAGGGGCTCAGGAGCAAGCACACATGGCGGGGGGGAGGAGCCAAAAGTGTCAGCGAGGGAATTGAGGAGAATCAGGGCTGCTCTTTGCAAAACCCTTGCACAGAGCAGATAAATATGACATGTTCAAAAAAGAAACAAAAATTAGGCCTTTAGTATCACTTTTAGGCTTGGTGGTCAGCAGGAGTAAAAGAAAATTATTAATTGTGCCATGTGGAAAGAATAGTACCTCATCATTGGTGTCAGTGGAAGGAATAGTGCCTCGTCATTGGTGTCAGTAGAAGGAATAGTGCCTCGCCATTGGTATCAGTGGAAGGAATAGTGCCTCATCATTGGTGTCAGTGGAAGGAATAGTGCCTCGTCATTGGTGTCAGTGGAAGGAATAGTGCCTCGCCATTGGTATCAGTGGAAGGAATAGTGCCTCGCCATTGGTATCAGTGGAAGGAATAGTGCCTCGTCATTGGTGTCAGTAGAAGGAATAGTGCCTCGCCATTGGTATCAGTGGAAGGAATAGTGCCTCGTCATTGGTATCAGTGGAAGGAATAGTGCCTCGTCATTGGTGTCAGTAGAAGGAATAGTGCCCCATCATTGGTATCAGTGGGATGAATAGTGCCCCAGCATTGCTGTCAGTGGAAGGAATAGTGCCCCATCATTGTGTCGGTGGGAGGACTAGTGCCCCATCATTGGTGTCGGTGAAAGGAATGGTGTCCCATCATTAGTGTCGGTGGAAGGGATGGTGCCCCATCATTGGTATCAGTGGAAGGAATAGTGCCCCATCATTGGTGTTGATGGGAGGAATAGTGCCCCATTAGTGGTAGTAGAAGTGCCCCATCATTGGTGTCGGTGGGAGGACTAGTGCCCCATTGTTGGTGGAAGGAATGGTGCCCCATCATTGGTGTCAGTGGAAGGGATGGTGCCCCATCATTGGTATCAGTGGAAGGAATAGTGCCCCATCATTGGTGTCGGTGGAAGGGATGGTGCCCCATCATTGGTGTCGGTGGAAGGGATGGTGCCCTATCATTGGTGTCGGTGGAAGGGATGGTGCCCCATCATTGGTATCAGTGGTAGGAATAGTGACCCATAATTGGTTTGGGTTGAAGGAATAGTGCCCTATGATTGGTATCGATGGGAGGAATAGTGCCCCATCAGTGGTAGGAATAGTGACCCATCATTGGTTTCGGTGGTAGGAATAGTGCCCCATCATTGGTGTCGGTGGTAGGAATAGTGACCCATCATTGGTGTCAATAGATGGAATACTGTCCCATTATTGGTGTCAATAGAAAGAATTGTGCCCCATCATTGGTATTAGTGAAAGGAATAGTTCCACATCATTGATGTCAATAAAAGGAATAATGCCCCATCATTGGTGTCAGTGGCAGGAATAGTGCCCCATACACTCACTGGCCACTTTATTAGGTACACCTGTTCAATTGCTTGGTAACACAAATTGCTAATCAGCCAATCACATGGCAGCAACTCAATGCATTTAGGCATCTAGACGTGGTGAAGACGACTTGGTAAAGTTCAAACAGAGCACCAGAATGGGGAGGAAAGGGCATTTAAGTGACTTTGAACGTGGCATGGTTGTTGGTGCCAGACAGGGCTGGTCTGAGTATTTCAAAAACTGCTGATCTACTGGGATTTTCACACACAGCCATCTCTATGGAAATTGAAACTCATCAGACCAGGCAACATTTTTCCAATCTTCTATTGTCCAATTTTGGTGAGCCTGTGCGAATTGTAGCCTCTGTTTCCTGTTCTTAGCTGACAGGAGTGGCACCCGGTGTGGTCTTCTGCTGCTGTAGCCCATCTGCTTCAAGGTTGGATGTGTTGTGCGTTCAAAGATGGTATTCTGCCTACCTTGGTGGTAACGAGTGGTTCTTTGAGTTACTGTTGCCTTTCTATCATCTTGAACCAGTCTGCCCATTCTCTGACCTCTAACATCAACAAGACATTTTTGTCCATACAACTGCTGCTCACTAGATATTTTCTCATATTTGGACCATTCTCTGTAAACTCTATAGTTGTGTGTGAAAATCCCAGTAGATCAGCAGTTTTTGAAATATTCAGACCAGCCCGTCTGGCACCAACAACCATACCACGTTCAAAGTCAAATAAAGTGGAGTTCCACCCAAAAGGGGAAGTTC